TCCAAAAGGCTTACTCCTCCTGCCGTTATTCAGCAAAACATTAGTTCTGACCTTAAGTTAAATCTAAGTACAGCGAGAAAGTTCCTTATAAAATTCCCACCTGTTTTCTAACTATAAATGACAAGTATTGTGTAGTCAGTTTTTTACCTTCCTTCTGCTGAAGTGCATTTGTTTGAGCTCTGAAAGTCTCTGTATACTTTATATCTGCTTCTTCTGATGGAGTCACATCTTCCTCTTTATATTCCTGGTGTGATGCTGATACACCGTCGTCGGTTTTACAGCTCTGGATTTTTTTCCCCTCGATAGCAGGAAGTTTGCTTCCTCTCACCTCCTCAGCTGTGGGTGCCTGGTGAACCTTCCCTTCAACTGCAAGCACCTCTTTACTTCTATCAATCTGGTTTAAACAGAAAGGAGAGAGCCTTAACAGTTCAATCAAACAAAAGCAGTCTCAAAACAGCACAGGCTTTCTGCACTGACTATAGTGCAATACACTACCCACTAATTAAATCTGATTTCCAGTAGTTATTTGTTATATGATCCCTCTGGGTTTTGATTCTGGGCCTACTGAATCAATGTAACTTCTGCCATAAACTTCAGCAGGAATCAGATCAGATGGGAGAGCCAACACTTTTGCAGTGTTCAGATCCTGGAGTTGGGCTCAGATTTTTCCACGTGCTGCCTGCCACCCTGACTGAGACAGGCAGATGAGCACGTGAAACCAGCCTTAACCACCAGTTACCAAAAAGAAAGGTTGCTATAAAAACACAGGCTGAGATTTTAAAAACCTGCCGCGAGGTTCTAGGTGCCCAGTTCCCATTAATAGCAGCCGTGGCTTAACTGGGAATTTTCAAAAGGGTTTATTTGATTTGTTTTTTTTTAACTTCTAGTCATTCACAGCACAACCTAAAGGCGAGACAGGATCATCCTGCCCTGAGAGCAAGCCCAGGGCCGTGGGTTAGTCGTGAATCTCCACCTTAATCAGCAGCACGTCTGCGAACTTCTCCGGGGCTCTGCTCTCTCTGCTCTTCCCGGGCGCCGCGTCGTGCAGGACGCTGATCTGCATCAGCTCCACGTCATGAAACGTGTAAATGCCTTCCTGGAGGCTGATGGCCACCGCCGTGGGGCCGTCCTGCGGCGCGCCGACGCCGACGCCGCCCCGGGGCTCGGCCTCCTCCCCGGCCTGCAGCTGCACGGGCCGCAGCGTGAGCAGCTGCTTCCCCGGCTCCCCCGCAGGCGGGGCCCACGCCGGGCCCTCCCCGCCTTGCAGCAGCACCTGGGCTGGGGCTGGGGAGATCGCGCCCCCGGGGGACGTGGCTGCCCCTCTGATTTGGGTGAAGGGCTCGGCGGGCGCTTCCATCGCGGCCGGCAGCCAGCAGAGGAACGCACGTGGGGACCGCCTGCATCCGGGGACCCCCCGTGCAACCCCGCACCCACCTCCCTTCCCTTCCCCCTACGGGCCCGCACCTGCGGGCGGCGCACGTGGCCGGGGCCCGCCGTGTGGGCGGGGCCTGCGGGGGGCGGGGCGAGCACGTGGCGGAAGCGCGCGGCCCGGGGCCGGATGCTCCGTGCGGCCCGCACGTGCTGCTCGTGCCTCGTCCCGCCGGGCGAGGGAAGGGTCAACCCTCCCCGAGCTTGAGGAAGGTGCCGGGGTCGCAGTCACGGCCTTGGCTCGGTGCGGGGCTGCCAAAGCACGACCGCACGCAGGATCCTTGTGAGCTGACCTGCGGTGAATGTACCTCCCTCGGATGAGATGGGTTAGGGTTGGGGGGTTTTTTTTTTTTGCATATCTGACACTTAATTGCATCAGGCAGTACCGGTAGCTTTTTTTTTTTTTTTTTTTTAATTACTTAGGTGCAGACATCCGTGATCAGGGATGTATGTGGCCGCTGTGTTGTTCTGAGACAAAGAAATGCAAAAGTCAAGAAGTCTTGGGTTGGGAGGCGATAGCTTTTATTAGACCAACTGAGCTGGTCTGATACAATTGCAAGTGTATTAGACTGACTGAGTCACAGCCTTGGCTTGGTGCAGAGTCTAAAACTGCAATTAGACCAATTCGACCGACTGGTATTAGACCAACTGAGTCGAAAACTGTAATGAGTCTTAAAATTGCAATTAGACCAACTGAGTCTAAAATTGCAACTGGTCTAAAACTGCAATTTCTCAGTTGGTCTAATAATAAAAGATAGCATTTTGGAACCAAGCGTTCTAGGATTTTGGCAACCTCCACGATCTGCCTGTCCGTTACTGGTGTGCGCTGCATCTTTCTGCTCCACCTTCCGCTTTGTAAGGCAGTTGAGTTCTGTTTAGCTACATCATAATTACCAGCAGAAAGGGTAACGGGGAAGCAGCCGGCCATGGGCTGGGGTTAGAGGTTTTGGAAATCACGGGAGGGAGTCAAGTTTTAGGGCTGCTATCTCCCATCACTTCCCAGGACTCTCGCAGCGGCTCTAAAACTGACGATCTCCCTTCGTAAGCATCCTGCAACCATTAGAAGCCTGGACAAGGACAGAGGCTTGTCAGGTTCCTGCTACAACAGGCACAGGGATGAGTACTCCAAAACGTGGTTTAAATCCAGGGTGGCCAACCTGTGCCGTGAGCAGCAGCTTTGTGTGGCACATGGCAGGACAGGGAAGGGACAGCAGATACAGGAAGAAGCAGGAAGCAGAGCAGGAGATCATGCAGGACAGCAGATATGGGAAGAAAGATCAAGCAGAGCAGGAGATCGTGCAGGACAGTGGATATGGGAAACAGAGAGCAGAGCAGTAGATCCAACAAGGAGCGTGGAGTAGGGAGCAGAAGGTGGAGCAGCAGATCAGGCAGAAGAAGGGGATCCGAGTAGCACTTAGGGAAGGTGCAGCCTTAACTTGTGGCCTCCACTGGTTTAAATTAAGTTCCAGAAAGTTCATACTCTTGAATAAATGCTTAGCATTATTTCAGTTCCAGCAAATGCACTTAAACAGGGCGCTGTGTTACTGAATACATTTAGCTACTGTGCATCCAGGAAGCATGCATTTCATATTCTGCAAAGTTATTATTTAATTTTATTTATTCCTATTAATAACAGTAGGTGCAATATAACATAAATGAAAGCGCCAAAGATCTAATGATCATGTTGCAAGGGGACACCCACAGTGTCATCACCACTGGAGATCCATGTGGGTTCAGGGATCCACTACCTGGCGCAAGCTATAAGAGAGGGAGATAATGTTGCATACACAAAAAAAAATGAACCTCGTGACCATACTGATTTTAGGATATTAAATGCACAGGGCCCTATCCTCAGAGACTGAAATCTGACAATGCCTGTTCATTCCTATTTTGCCAAAATCAAGTTACCCCTTAGGCACAAGCCAAAAGGCAGAAACCAAAATACAACACCAAACAGCAGTAAGATGTATCTCATTGTATTTTACCATTTATAAATGCAGATAATTTTAAACCATTAAGTTTTTTTTGTTAAGCGGACAGCTCAAAGGCAAAGCAATTATTTACTGCTTATATACTACCTTTGTGATTTAGGGGAATACCATTTCAATTGGATATTACATTGTGTACACTCAATGGCAGCTGCAGGCTTGTACTTCTTGCATGTATTAAAATCTCTTCAGATTGCTGTGGTGTATGTCATTACAATAGGTAGCTGAGGGGCAGTGAGGAAAAAAGACATTTTTAAAATAATATAGCTTCCTTTAGGTCATTTTAATGAGCTGCTTTGCACTTCCAACAGTCATCAGCATCAAGTCTGTCTTGCTTTTTACTTTTGCATTATTAATCCATGCTGTTTATTAAGGGTCTACCATTATTATAATTTCAAATTGATATTTTCAAGGATTGGTAACTCCAGTTTAGAATATCGCTTCAGTGAATTCAAGGGAATCACTTGGATCAATGATCCACAAACTGAATAACGAAGTTTTGACACTATAGAGGCTGCAGTGCTCATTACAGTCTATTGATTAAACCATCTCTACAATTACCAATACTGTCTACTGTATTATCTACATCTAAGTACAACCAGACGGCTTCTTACCCACTACTCTTAATACTCCATTTCACACTAGCTGACCAAGAACATGCATTAATGTCATGAACAAAGTGTGTTTTTTAAACATCTTTTTAAGGGAAGGGTAAACCTATTCTGCATGGTCCATTGCTAATTGAGAAGTTTATGGAATTTCAATAGTTCACAACTTTTTGTCAAACTATCATGTAAAGACAAAGAAAATTCAGCTACAAACACTGAGAAATTGTTGCTGAGAATCTAGCAATGCACAATAGGAAACATATGCAGTTAAAATTCGAAGTAAATGGACCAAATTCTGGCTGCCAGCTTGACCAAGATGAGGCAGCAAACTTTGGTCCAAGGAGGGCTGTTACTGAGGATAAGCAGCTTGATTGGCTTTTGCAATCTACTTTTTGCACTTTGGCATAAGTTAAGATCAGGGCACCAGTCCAGATCGTCCACCTTAATTCTGAATACGCCGTCCTTTGTGGACTGGAGATCCTTCGTATTCATTCCCTATAGATTACTTGTAATGAGAATATCACAATTATGATCCATCATAAATATCCTTGATCTTCAAAGTTATGAATGCCTTCAGTTTGGTTCCTGACGTCCTCTGCTTTTTGGCAGTAGGCTCTGGGGAACGGAGAGCCTGTGCAATCCAATCAGTGCCTGGTGCACCACATACCTTCCCTGCACATCTTGGATGGGCTCTCATCCAGCCTCCAGTGGCATCAACAGAAAGTTTCCCAATGACTTCAATGGTTTTGGTTTGGGCCCAGGGCTCACGTAACTGTGAAGCAATAAGACGTGATTTAATGAAGAATCTGTGACCCGTCAGAGGTCAGGACAAATTGGGATGATAATAGCAACAGACTGAGTCAGTTAAGGGAAAGATAAGCAAACAGGCCATCCCCACTGGACCTCAAGCACTGAGCAGAACCGCTCCAAACCTGTTCAGCTGCTCAGACTAGTGCAGTTTATGAAATTCTTTCTTGGCAAACCAAAGTCCATCCTAATTCAAGTTATGCCTTCTGTTTAACCTGTACAAAAACCTCAGCTAATCTGCTCGCCTGCTGTGACTTATTTTGTGGGGGATTCATCTTTGGTAGCAGTTTCAGCACAGTGGCATCTGGGAAGATTTTCATAGTCATCTTCCTTGAGAGTGCTGCTTTTCCCCGTTGCCTGATCTCTGCCATATTTATAGCGTACCTTTTGTTTTGGTATCTGAGTGCCCCAGCACTGGTTGGAATAGCATTCATCTCCGTGCTTTTGACACTAAGCTCAATGGCAAACATGTCCTTCCTCACCATCACCTGGTTTGTAAAGATATATAGGACTCGATTGTGACTTGGATTACCTACCTGAACAATACACTTGTAAGCATGACCATCTTCCCTTGCAGTTACATAAGCACCAGTAGGTCCTTGGAGCTAAGCATTTAAGTGGGTCTCTACTTGTTCTGTTGCTCCCTCCCCAAAGCAAGTGATGGATAGAAGAGGAGGCTAGCAATAAAATTACAACCGTCTTGCCACAACAAAATTGAAGCAAGGAGAAGCTAGGATTCAGAGGTGTGTGTCTCAGGCATAATACTTCCTTGCACCAGGCAATGTATGCACCATACCTTGTTGAAGTCTGTGCTAAAGGCATAGTCGGGTCTTAATTTCACAGGTTGCTCTCCTTCTTGCCTTTATCCCAACGTCTAAATTGGGTTGGGGAATGGGAAACATCCCTTTTTAAGCACTATGGGTGGGCTTTTTAAAAACACTGAAGAGAGTTTTATTAAAAGCCAGTAGGAGTTTTGCTCTGAAATCACATTTGTGCTTTTGAGAATCCCACCCAATGCTATTAATGATTATAATTATATAGCACTATGAACCTACATGGCCCCTCACAGGACATAGATATGGTATAATATTAGATTGATGTGAAATGTATACAAGAGCAAGGATTTAATATAAGCTCTATATAGCTGAAAGCCCTGAGGGGGAGGGATGATTGCACACAGATTGAACAGGAAAGTTTTGGGTTTTTTTTTAACCATAAATTGAAACTTGCCTACCAACCTTTTCATCAGGTGCCCCTTTAGAAGCCTTGAATCCAAAGCATCCATGCAGTGACGGATAACTTTTAGCATCTTGTCTGGAAGATACCAGATTAAGTTGTTTAATTCATCTTTTGCAATAGACGTTTCTTCGGGAGACACCTGATTTCCAGCGTTCTGCAGGAAGAGGGTATCACGACTATAGACCTTACTTGCCCCTCAATGACAACACGTCTAAATAGCTAAGAAACACTTTTTTTCTACAGATTGTATACACATGGGTCAATGCTTTCTCTGCTTATTTGTGCAGGAGTCCCAGAGTGACCAAGTTGAGAAAGCAGAGGTTTTTCCCACTAACTTTGATTTAATGAGAGAAAACATGCTAGGGGCAGGCAAAGGTGGATTCCCACAAACACAGAGGGAGGATGTACAAGTAGAAAGAGATAGTAAAGGTTTAACTCGGCTGATGAAAGAAGCAGGTTTCAAGGATGCCCATGTTTCCTTGCTTTTTTATCACATTGTTAATCTTTAATCAGGAACACAGTTCTGAGAAGTGCCTGGCTGGGTGACCATCAGCTCTCGGAAGTTAATGAAAGTGCCAGCAGATGAGACTGTCTCGTCCTTGTTCAAAATATACCCATGAATTACGGGCACAGCCCAAAGGAGTTCAAATTCTGCCTCCACGTTGAAATGAACCCAGAGCAAGTGGGTATTGACCTTGCAAAGTCAGCATTAATGCGTCCCTGTGTCCTGGATGACAAGGGTTCCCCGCGTAGCTACTAACGTAGTAGCTCGTCTTGCTACATGGACACTGAAGTCACCCAGGAGTTGTGGGGACAGGTCTCTGTTAACACAGAGGACTCCAGAAGTGTGCAAAACTTCTTCAGGTCTGATTCCGATCTCACTTACTTTGGTATAACTTCACAAACACTAGTGCAGTCACTCCTAATTTATGCCAACAGCTACATGGTTTTATGATCATTTCCCCTTCTCTTGTGGCAAACTACAATTTATAAAGACTATGACCAAATACATAGCAAACTCTTTCACTGATAAACAGCTAATATAGATGTAGATGTTTGCTGTGTACATGTTTGCCATGACACCTTCTCTGAATAAAAGAAGCCTCTTTCATGATCCACAAAGCCAACATTAATTTCTCCTTTACACTTTTTGTAAGTCCATAGATGTATCCAGAACACTTAATGGCTAAGTAACAGCGTGCTGCAATTACTTCTTTCGCTCTGCTCGTAGTGGTCTCACTGTTAGGCTCCCTTGGGCTGCCATTCATATCCATTTGTCTCATCTTGTAAAATCTCCTGGGCAGAGAACGCCTCTATTACATATTGGTGTCTGGTACAACGGGGCTCTATCTTCCAGGTGCCGCTGCAGTACAAATGACTAAATAATTAAGTGGTAAAGGTTACTAAATGGGTTACACTGTTTTCCAGTATTTGCATTATGCAAATCAGTCAAGATTAATTTGCACTTGTCAGTTTTTTAAGCCAATGTGATAAAAAGTTTCTCTTCAAATTGCATTAATTTGCTTCTGAATGATGTCAGGCTTCTAGATCTGGATACTGGTGTATGATCAAAAGCAATAGGTTCAAGAGAACCAGTGTGCCATGATGAGAAATGAGAAAGTGTCTCCATGGTTCCTCTACCGAGATGTCGTTGCTAGTAAGTGGCTTGTCTTTGTGATAGGGACACCTCTTGGATGGGAATAACCTACCCTGGTCACCAGGCAGAAATGAAGGCAGGGTAGATTTGCACCTTATAGACTAAGTCAGAGATGCTTGAGCTTTCATGAGCCTGAGCTCACTATCACTCTCTTACCAGACAGAAATGCCTCCTTTAATTTAAAAGACCAGCAACAAAATCCCCACAGATTTTTTGAATTTATTCTTGTTGGTTTATTTCTATATGAAACATGTTTGATAGTTATTGCACGGTATCTAGATATTCAACTGGCCAATTAACACTTAATCAGAGCTTATCAGTACGCAGATAAAATGCTATCAGGTCAATGGCTTTTTCTACTGTTGATTTTCCTGAGGATGTCAGGCATAGGAACCCAGGGGGACCTAGTGCCTGACACAGGTATAACATTTGCCTTCTGACCTTTAGATGTAGCCAGGCTTTTATTTTTGCCTGGGCAGCTTATTTACTCTGCTGCTGTTGTTGCCAGTAGTACAAGGTGCTCAAAATCTTCACCGCAGCAATTTTCCTGTGGAGAATGTGAGATGAATCCTACTTAAAACAGAAGTAGTCTAGTTTCAGTCTAGTTTGTGTTGCTCATAAAGGAGAAAATAGGCTAGGGGTGAAGGGGGAAAACATTTTCCAAGGCTGCAGGATTATTACAATGGCTCCTCAAGATGCCCAAAGTCTATTGTCCCAAGCACCGTCCATGAACGGAGTGAGAACATAAAAAGGAAGCAGAATTTACTCTGTTTTACAGGAGAGAGAGCTTAGCCCCCGTCTAAACACTAACCTTACCAGGCCGGCTGCAGGGTCCTCAAGCATGCTGCTCTGCCTGGACTCCGAAACCAGAGGCAGCGTAGCCACTCAGCAATGCAAATTAGCCTGTGCATAATGGGTCCAGTTTCCAATTTAGCAGTGTATTAGTGGTTGCCGCTACAGGCAGGGTAAATTTAGTATTCCAACCTGGCCTACGGTCCAAAGAGATAAAGCCTGCCCTGACCTGTGGCAGAGGTGCAAGGTGAATCCATCTCCAATTCAGCTGTGTACCCTGAGCGAGCTGGCAAGGAGGGGAAAGAAACAGGCAGCCGGTGGGTCAAATCAAAGGTAAGAAGAGCTGAAGATGGATCAAGAGAAGTAAAGGAATGAAGCAGATATTAAAACGAATGAATACTAGCATGTTGCCAGTGAGTTGGACAATGCTGCATAATACTAAAGTGACAGCTGGCAATGGGGAGCTGTGGGCACAGTGAGAAATACAGGTAAAGGATTGGTGGGGAGTTAAAATCCAAGTGACTGCAGGGGCGCTGGAGGCTGCCATTTCATCCTGGAAGAAAAAAACGAACCCAGGGAAGGAGCCAGGGAATTTTCATTCCCTAAAGAAAACCAGGCAATGTGAAATCTTGCTCCCAGCACAAAGCCGGAGGCGCCCTGTCACTTGGCCTTCCCGGAAGCCAGAAGTTTTTTTCAGAGGAAGAATTTATCCAGTATTTTTAGCCACAGTTTAACAACTGCAAAAGTTAGTGTGGAGAGAGTTATTGTCTGCCCTGTCCGCAGGCAGGAGTGGGGAGGTCCAGACGGGGTTGCCAGCTGCAAACAATTCAGCTATGCGGTGAACATGGATTCCCCTCCCGGGTGACTTCAGCAGCACTGACCTTCCCTTGTAAACGTGAGCCGCGATGCCATCTGGGCCGTGTACAACTGAACTGAGCAGCTGCTACATAGGGAAACACGTAGCCTTAGGCTGACTGCTTTCTACTCTGCCTGGTGCAGCTTGGCCCTTCTCTGCCGACTGCAGCTATGCCATGCATCCAGCCAAAAGAATGCATTAGCCATGCAAAGAGTCTCCCCAGTAACACTTTGCATAGCAAAAAGCCAGATAATCTGTAGAGCCTCATTACCAGCCGGCTCTCAAAAAGCTTCCACGTGCCATCCAGCCTTCCCTCTGTCTTATGTGCAATAGGTCTGAGACAGTAACTCTTTATCTAAATCCCCCGGGTAGCATTAGGAGAATTCCAGCCCTCACACCTGATGAAGAGGTTAAATATAGCTGACAACTGTCCAGATATTGATTCCTACAGAGGCCATTATCCTTATATTGATGCCAGTGCCCTCACACACATGTCAAATCAAGTAAAAGATAGGACTGATCTGTAAAAGACTCCCCAGGAAGTCCCAAGGGCACCTGCCTGGGAAGAACAAGCAGGACAATCCTGAGCCAGCCCCGTCTCTAGGTCTCCCAGGCTGGGAGGAGTACACAGCCATGCTGACAGCTGCTAAATGATCCAACAGACCCAGCCGTGGTAGAGTGCGACCCTTCTGCAGGTGTGACACCTAACTGGAAAGATCAGCTTCCATGCAGACGCTTTTCTTGTGACGAGCAGGGATCCTGGTTCTCTCTGATCATGGAAAAATGTGGATTTGGGGTTGCTTGTTTTTTTAACCAAAAATTGGGGATTTTTTTTAAAATCGGAGAAAACCAGGATGCCTGGTACTGAGCTACCACAAAAAGTGTTAATGTATGAACACTCAGGTGTTGAGTATTTGTGCTGACTACACTGCAGGCTGTTGCCTTCTCTTGGGGTGTTGGTAGCTATCCCCATTTCAGGGCTGATTTGCAGCCTGTGTTGGCTGCCCACATCTCATGTAGCAATACGGGAGGGAGCTAACGGCACTGGGACTTTTCCCCATGCAACAAGTGGCACGTTCTTGCTTCAAACCGGGTGGCAGATTGATACCACCGGGAGTCTATGCTGAGGTTTAATTCCCTGAGATACAACCTCTTGTGGTCTCCTGCAGGGCAACACCACAGCAACTGCTCCTATAACAGGGGTGGGCAAAATGCAGCCTAAAAAAATTTAGAAAATTAATATTTATCTGCCCCGGTTGCCTGTCATGCGGCCCTCGATGGCTTGCCAAAACACAGTAAGCGGCCCTCTGCCCAAAATAATTGCCCGCCCCTGTCCTATAACATGGCAAATGATTGAGTCTTTTGAGAGAGAAAGAGGCCCAAGAGTCTTCCTCCTTCCACCAGCCAGAACCATGGGGTTGCTGTGGCTGCATTTTCCTTTTTGGCATGATTTGCTTACCTCACATTAGAAAAACTTCAGCATGGCCAGCAGAGAGGTGAAGAAACCAGGGAGGCAAATGAAGATGAAATGACCAGCCCACTTGATTTCCCAGCACCACTGTAAAGCTACACCAGATACTTGCAGATGCCTCCGCTGTCTGAAAAACTCACCTTGCGTCTGTGCCAGGTGCCAAACTCATGTTGCCTTACGGGGTCTTCTGGCATATTAAAATGATCCAGCAACCTGAGTAAGATGGACAATGCAATCACATTTAGGGTGAAAGGAAAGGGGAGAGGAGGGAAGCATTGTCATGCCAGCTGCGCTCCCTTTCCTCTCTCTTCCCAGAGGCCTATTTCCTTAGCCACGGATGGATCTGCAGCAGAGACGTAGTTCTTACGAGCAGCACAACTGCATGCAGATAGCAGGGTACGTCTCCACCAGTTTTAAACAAGGAGCGGACGGACAACTGTCTGGTGCCGCGCAGAATCACTGCTGAAAGAACGAGGGAGAAAACGACAGCAGTGTAAGGCACACAGATGCCAGTTTTGTGTCCGCAGCCTCCAAAAGTGCAGCCATTTGCTAAGTGCACCAAGCTATTACTGGCTTCCCTGCCATATGGTAGCAAGGGCCCATTTTGTATGCAATTTAAGACACACACTTCATATCTCAGTGGCCAAACCCCGCTTTTAGAAAATGAGAATACTAACACTTACTCTCCCCAGTCCCTTTCCCATTTTGTCCATATATGTTAGAAGCTCAGAGGGCTGGAAACCATCTCTGACTCTGTGTTCATACACCAGTTACAACTGGGCTTGATCTCAATTGGGCACTGCCATAATGCAAAGAAAAAAACGTAGCCCTGAAACAACCCTCACAAGTCAGCTGCATACGAGTCCAGATTAATCCATTCCAAAAAAGCTCAATTGTCAAGATAAAAGACACGTCACCCCAGAACATTTTTTGTGTGACAATACCTGAAACAATGAGCTTTGTGAAGAATGCAGAATTTCTAAGTAGTATTATGTGCTATTAGTGATTTTCAACTCTCAGCGAGATTGCTTTGTTGCACCTGTGTCTGTTTGCAATGATGAAGCCTAAAACTTTTGTCTCACACTTTTCCTGAGTAGCTAAGAGCCTTTAAATGTATTGTACTAAGCTCTGCTAAGTCACTCCTAAATTGAAGCACTCAAAACCTTTATTTTGAACAGTGTGAATGGTGTCCATCAAAGCAGACATCTTGAAAACACTCCTTTCAAGGCACTTATTGAACACTATCATCTGGAAATGTCAGATTCACACTCATTTAAATAATTTGACAGCTTCCAAGAAGATACCTGATGAGCATCACATTTAGGTGTCAAAAAAGTACAGAGAAGAAGTGCCAAAAAAAAAAGTTCCATCCAAAGGATTTGTATTCAGCCATTAGAAGAGATGTATTGTAGTTCAGTTACTACAAAAAAAGCATTTCCGTTTAAATGGAAAATAACATTTACATTTAAGATGCTTTACAAAAAGGGCTTTTTCCCCATTGAATTCATTGCTAGTGAAGTTTGCCAGCCTGGTGGATTCCTGGAGAGAGGAGCCTTCTGGTTAGCCAAGATCCTGGTCAGGACAGGCCCAAGTTAATATTGGCCCAATATGAGACATATAGGTTTGATTCCCAGCGATTGCCATAACTTCCACGGACATCACTGGGATCATAGGCGCACTGGAAAAATCAGACCTCTGTAATGTCTGAGGTTGGGCTGCAGAAATTGAAGCCTCCAAACTCAGAAGTTTCTTTAGAAAATCTTGGCCCTAATATTTCTGTGCTCTTCATTATTATTCCTCTGTAACATGGGAATAATAACGGCATGCGTCACAGAAGGGTTATGATACTTTGTGCCTGTCATATGCTTCGAGATTCGCAGAGAAGCAAGCGTTACTTTGATAGTTGTGGTTCTAAACTTTCTGGGATGGATATTGGTGTTCAAACCCTGCTGGCTTCACATGTAACAAGCTTGAAAGCCTTCATATAATATCTAGTGGACATACGGTCATGTCCCTGTGCTACACACTTGATAATTAGCATCTGCCCAGAAGAAGCCCAATTATATAGCAGGACTGGGGGAGGTTAGGATTGCAATACAGGGAAGTTTGCACATCTGGGTCCTGAATTCCAGCAGCAAAATTGAGAGGGGCAAACAGGGCAGCAGCTCAGGTATCACCTTTGGCAGGGGAGATAGCAAAATAGCTGTACCATACTAGTGGCGGGACACACCACCACCGTTGGCATCACAGCAGCCAGAACTACCCCGTGTACTGGCACTGCCTGGGGGTAGACCTGCCCTGCTGCACCTCTGGTGAACACGAGGAAGTTTTGTGTTTTTCCTTTTCTTTTCCTCCTTTCCCCGCCCCCCAAACAAGCTTACATTTGCCCCGACACCCTGGTAGATCAGTCGTTCAGGTAGTTGCTGATATCCTACTACACAGCATCGTGAGGATTTACAGTCCTGGAGAATCTCTGTCTGGCACATGTGGAAGGGTCTTGCGTAGACTTATACATAATCTAATTTCTGCCTTTCCAACACTCAAAGACATTCATGAGCCAAAGTAATTTTGGTACAGCTCTTCAGAACTGCATGCTGAAAATTAGATGCAGTCCCCCTGGGTGTGTATATTCCCCACCAATTACTGCTTTATTGGGATAAAGGTTGAACTTTATCCCACTATCAGGCTATACTTTCAAGGTGAGTAAACATACCTTGGACAAGCCTCCAGTTCACAACCAACTGATAGGTGCGATGGGACCTGGTGCGCTGGACTCTGTTGCTTGTCACTACCAGGAGCGTTCCCGGTTCCAGCCACTCATTGTGCTCAACCTTTCTCACATATTCAGAAGTTATGACGCTTTTTGCATTGAGGCAAAATTAGGTCAAAGTTTAGCCAAATGAGCACCTTTCGTAACTGCTTAAAACAACAAATCCAGAGGCTGAGAATCACTGCCTCCGACACTCATTAATCAGGTCTGTTAAATGATTACCTGTCCAGGCTTCTTGTCAACCAGTGTTTGCGATAATAGCCGTCTGCGGCAGCATCCTAAGAAACATCTTTTAGTGACATAGGGGACAGGCCTCCCTCACCCCATCGAAGTGGGAAGGTCTCCAGCGCACAAGGGGTATTTAAGACAGCAGAATGACTCCTCGGAAAGGAAAGAGTACAAGAATACTCCAAAGCGATCCCAGTGCAAGTAGTTGGAAGAGACAACACAATCTTCTCCGAACTCAAATTCAAGAACTTTCAGGGGGCTCAAATTCAAGGAAAGTAAGTAGACCATCTATAAATGAAACATGCCTTTTCCCACGGGTGTATATTTATCCGTAGGTGGTGAGATTCTCTCCCAGATCATAACCGTTGGCACATAATCAAATCTAACACATGACAAAATTGAATATGGCATATCTTTTTTCTTTTTACAGCTGAATTGTGTTTTGGAAAGCACATTCATTTTCTTAGGAATCATGTAACAGCATAACTGTTTGATCTTAGGTTGCAACCTGCATTTCATGCCGACCAGCAAGAACTACCACAATCAACAAATAATGCCTCCTCAGCTGAAGACTCAGTTGAATATCACTTCAAAGGTGATCAAGGGGGATTTGGAAAGTCTGAATCAGGATGTGAGAGGCTTCATTGAAAGCAATGCCAAGCTTTGCCAGCCTGATAGCATCCATATCTGTGATGGCTCAGAGGGAGAGAACAAAAAAATCCTGGCCCTCATGGAGGAACAAGGCATGATCAAGAAGCTGAGCAAGTATGAGAACTGGTAAGTGATAGACATTTTCAAAATTCATTAGTGTTTGCTGCCCATGAACATTTGCATACGTAGGAATGATGCTCAGGAAATGTAAATGTGTTTCCACATTTTTCTTCCCAAGCTAATTCCAATTTTTCAACTGGAATATCCATACGTTACCATCACTCTCTTGGTTAGTTACAGAAATCACCCAGAGTCCCATGAACAGAGACAATATTATGTGACCATACCCAGGCACCAATATAAGAAAGGTGCAAGAATAACAGCTGTCAGGTCCCTGCCACCTGTCTAGCTACTGCCTCCTGGGATGCAAAACCTCCACGTTACATCTCTGTTGCGTGACTCATGGAAGGAGTCATTAGCAATGTGTAGCAAACAGAGTAAACACAGATTTTGAAGAATGCCACTGTTCTAGTCAAAAGTGTTTATTTAAATACTATTTTGATGGCATTCAAAATGCCCTGTAGTTGTTCAAATATTATTCATAAAAAACACATTATTCACATCATGCTGATGAGTTTGACTGTAACTTATTTGGCAAATATTTTGCTCAACTATTCCACTGCCTCTTCCCAAATAACCCACGTGAAATGAGAACGTTAATGACAATTAAGCATTTGGGAATGACTTATAGATCAAGATTTATTCACTGAAGAAATCTGCAAGGAATTTTGAATAACTAAGAAACACAAGAATTTTGCAATCTGTTTGCAGGGTATTTGTGGGGGAAAAGGGCAAAATTCAACGGATAAATTATTCACCGTTAATTATATGCTGAGCGCTGCAGCAATGATGATTATGACAGTCTGACTAGAACACTTTTGCTCTAATTGAAGATTTCCCTGCACAGTTGAAAACATAGGACAATGCGCTCAACTATAAATAGTCTAAACAAAATAACTCTTTATTGAGCCATGATAATGCTTAGTAGTTGCATGGTGCAGCATCTCCACTCCAAGGTGCTTTCCTGAAGTAGTGGGCTAGATCTGAATTCCCCGTTTGCTCTAATACTGTGAGCACCTACACTGGTATTAAAAGTGTTTTCAGGATCTCCTTTTTCTGCGGGCATCATTCTGCTGTTTCCTATGTAAAAGTGGTGTAATCTTGGTTTATGTTGATGTAATATGTGAGAACAGGGTCAAATCTTTTAATCCCCCTCCAAAGCTTCTATAGCCCCCTTTTACAGATGGTAAAATTGAGGTAAAGGGAAGGTTATACATGCAACTACATTTTATGAAGTCCAGTGAGGTACCAGTCCATTCTACAATGTTTTAAGGTATTATCCATGACCAGTCCTTTATCCATATAATCTGTGTTTGCCTTGAAGATGTTGACTCTGTCACCTTTGTTTTACTCCTAAAAACACTGTAACTTGCTGCACCTAAAGTGAGCTCTGAAAGGATTAAGCACATACTTATGACTTTTAATCACTGAAGCAGTTTCCTAATCTCTGTTAAAATGTAGTTGGTTGGCTCTCACTGACCCAAGGGATGTGGCAAGAATTGAAAGCAGGACTGTCATCATCACTCAGGAGCAGAGAGACACGGTCCCAATCCCCAAGACTGGAATTAGCAAGCTGGGCCGCTGGATGTCAGAAGAAGATTTTGAGAAAGCCTTCAGCGTCAGATTCCCAGCGTGCATGAAAGGTGGGTTCAAAAAGAAAAATAATAGATGGTTTTTATAATACCACAGGCACCAGCAGTAATAATATCATAGCACAAATATACACATGGCTCCAATATTCACACTGGAGCATCACAGGGGAGGCCACTGTCCCATTGCACCGGGACCCAACATCCAGTCTCAAAGCTCAGCGCGTGCGTGCGTGCACACACACACACACACACACACACACACACACACACACACACACACACACGCTTATCAGTGCCTCCCAGGTAAACTATTCCTTTGGCTTCTTTTACAGAATGACAAAATGAAGCTTGGATTAGTGGGTGACTTAAAATGGAGGAAGGAGCCCAGGAGTCCTGACTCTGAGGGTCAAATCCTGTTCATCAGAGAGCCGTGTATTTACACCAGCATGAAATTTAGTCCCTAGTCCCCTGCTTCAATAGCCACTGCTGCCTACATAGCAGAGAAAACTGCTATCGGTCAAAGACAAAACCTTTTGCTATACATGCCGACAAATGGAAAGGATCTGATGTTATTTTTAGATATCATCAGAAACCAGATGTTTTTTAAATGTGGGGAACAGGAGGCTTTATAATGAGGATTGCTCCAATAGTTCGTGGTTTCCTCCCCATCCCTGTCCTGTCTCACTCACTTGGCACTGTTCCTGTTTCACAGGCCGTACCATGTATGTCATCCCCTTCAGCATGGGACCTATTGGGTCTCCTCTGTCCAAGATTGGGATTCAGCTGACAGATTCACCGTATGTCGTGGCCAGCATGAGGATAATGACCCGGATGGGAACAGCTGTCTTGGAAGCCCTAGGCAACGGGGAGTTTGTAAAGTGCCTTCATTCAGTTGGGTGCCCTCTTCCACTGAAAGGTTAGTAATAACAGCCACCATTCACTTTGGCCAATACTCAGGCAGACCTGTTAGAGGCGGCGAATTATCCCATAGCTGCCCACTGCAACTACTAGCGACCACTATCTTACTGGATGGAGAGCTGCCTGCTCCCCTGTGGCAATTGCTGTGTTCATGACTAGCACATTGTGTTTTACAGAACCACTGGTGAACAACTGGCCTTGCAACCCAGATTTGACTCTGATTGCTCACGTCCCCGATCGCAAAGAGATCATTTCCTTTGGCAGTGGTTACGGAGGAAATTCTTTACTGGGGAAAAAGTGCTTCGCTCTCCGAATTGCCAGCAGAATTGCCAAGGAAGAAGGCTGGCTGGCAGAGCACATGCTGGTAAGACCCGTTAAATCATAAGTCCATTTCAAAAAGCAATTAAACTGCAGAACAGCTCAACATGAGCTCCCCATGGCCTAATATTATAGGGTTCTGAGGTGCACAAATCATACAACATGTTTATCTAGAAACAGAGACCTGCTAATAAGTGAACATTTTAAAGAGGCATCTTCAAAAATAGGGAACCAAGCAAGTTTTTTACCTAATTATTTAGAGCCTGATTCTGAAAGTTGCTCCATACCTTCATGCCTGGGCAGGGGTCCAACAACTTTGAGCAGGGATCCATGAAAGTCAATATGCATGGCACAGCTTGCAGGACTGGTGCTACAGGTTGGAAAATTGTCTTTTAAATAATAAAGCAGGCCTGCACAAACACCTGCATTTTTGTAAGGACTTGCAGTTGGCTGTTACTTTTATGAGCAATCCTCTGTTCTCTGTCCACTTGAAACATTTGCATTTTACTGACATAAAATGCTCCTGGAAAGTGAATTTCCAAGTTGCGTGATAGGATACTCACGGCAATAAATACACGTGTACACGTTTTCCTGCCACAAATAGCACATGGCTTGTCTGATCAATCACAGCTGAGAAACTCAGCTCCAAGTCTGAGTATTTTTCATCTGCAAATGTTTGAATTGTAATATGCATTTGAAAAAATAAGGGATCCTCTCAGAGAGGAACTACTTGTCACATAAAATACAATTTGTGAATTAAAAAGATTGGCTCTATCATTACATCTTTTTTCTAGGGAAAAAAGCACGCTTGATTAAATGCTTGTCTTTACCATTTGCATTCTTTAAACTTGCAAAAATGCAAGGGGAAAAATTGACATATTCGTCAGTTGTGTTTGTTTTTCACTAGATTGTTGGCGTTACAAATCCAGAGGGTGACAAGAAGTATTTTGCAGCAGCGTTCCCTAGTGCATGTGGGAAAACTAACTTGGCTATGATGAACCCAACTCTGCCAGGGTGGAAAATTGAGTGCGTTGGGGATGATATTGCCTGGATGAAGTTTGATGAGCAAGGTAATCTTTTCTGGAATTGATGGTTGAATTGTTGCAGGCACCAGTCCTGCTTGCATTGAAGTCAGTACCTGCATTTCCTATGCTTTATCAATAAGATCTGGAACCAAGTCTGGGGCGAGGATGGGGAAGAGAGCTCCACTGGTGAACTGGGTTTTGTTTCCTTATTCACTGTCCCTTAAATTTCAGGTAATTTAAGGGCAATCAATCCAGAAAACGGCTTTTTTGGAGTCGCTCCCGGAACATCAGTAAAAACAAACCCCAATGCTATGAAGACAATTTACAAGAACACCATCTTTACCAACGTAGCAGAAACCAGTGACGGAGGCATATACTGGGAAGGCATTGATGAGCAGCTCGCACCTGGAGTGAAGCTGACATCATGGAGAAACAAGGAGTGGCTCCCAGAGAATGGTAATGTGGCATGCCCTTTGCATTTTCACCTTTGCATTTTCACCTCCTTTCAAGTGAATTTTGCAATCACAAAATATTTCTCATTTCTACAGGGGAAACCTGTGCTCACCCCAATTCTCGATTCTGCACTCCAGCCAGTCAGTGCCCAATCATCGACTCGGCATGGGAATCCCCTGAAGGAGTGCCGATTGAGGGTATAATATTTGGAGGCCGTAGACCTACCGGTAAGAGCTGCACTCAGTTATATGAAAGCTACAGTCCTGATCACTTTATGGATGTAATAGTCCTGGCAGAAACTGGGTATAAACATGGCTTTTATTACCACAGGTGCCCTGGTTATTGAGGGCAGAGGAATAACTAGATTAGCCTTTAACCACCACGTGTTCAGATGTGGCCACTGATGTTTCAGTGTTCAACTCAGAACACAGCACGCCACCAGACTCTATGCCTGAAGAAGGGTGTTTGTGCCAGAAAGCTTGCAAAGCACTGTTTAGCTGGTCTAATAAAAGATATCACATCTACCCAAAGAGGCTTGTCTGACAGTGCCACCTTCACACAGGTAGCAACATAATACAGATGACCTTAACCACAAAGCCATCCTTCTTCTTAATGCAATCAGCTGGGAACTGTAGAACTCCAAAAAACAGGTCCATGGTGTTGTAAATCAGTTGCCTAAAGATAAAGGCACTCCAAATCAGGCCACTTCTGAACATTTTGGCCTAAGTTCTTTTTTAGTAAAAGAGGGAGGGAATGAACTGAACAAAAAGCTAGAGAAAGAGGAACTGAAGTATATGGCTCGGTGCCCACTGCGGTAACTCAGGTAGCAAAATCTGCTGTTGCAAACCTTTCTCGCCCTTTAATTACAGAAGCTATTTTGCTCTCTACAGGTGTGCCTCTGGTATACGAGGCCCTTAACTGGCAGCATGGAGTATTTATAGGCGCAGCGATGAGATCTGAAGCAACAGCAGCTGCCGAACACAAAGGTAAATCAAGATCTAATTTGCTTTCCCATATCAAAAGTAGTCCCTGACTGTTGTTCACTACGAAATGAGCATATGCTAAAGTCTGGTTCTTGGGACATCATTTTGTAAACTGAGCATTTTTCACAATCCAAAATATTATTCTTGGTGTTAAAAAAAAAATCCTCAACTGAGATGCAGCAAATTAACCGCATGTGGGTCGTGCGCAGTAACAAAGCTGCGTGGCCCATTAGGTGCTGAAGTCTGAGCCGAAAGCCTTGATATTACAGCTCATGCCTGACCTCAGACAAGACGCTGAAATGTTCAGATTTGCCATGAGCCCATGGCAATGCAGGCTGGTTGTGAAAGCCTTTGGGCTCTGTTTTCAGAGCTGCTTCCGCTGAAGTCATGGGGGCTCAGCATTTCTAAGATGTAAGCTCACACGTTGTGCTGCAGCTTCTCCCTGTGGTAAAAGGCTCCCCACCTTCTCAGAGCCCTTTGGCCCAGATCCTCAGAAGATAGTTAGGTGCCTAAATCCCTTTGTGCATCTGAGCCTTTTTGCCTATAGGTGGATGTGCTACCTGAGGGCTAAGGATTGTATCACTGGCTCTGTGACACTGTTCTTATATTTCCTTGTTCATTCTCTAAACAGGTAAAATCCTCATGCATGACCCCTTCGCCATGAGACCCTTCTTTGGCTACAACTTTGGTAAATACCTGGCCCACTGGCTCAGCATGGCACACCGCCCAGCTGCGAAGCTGCCAAAGATCTTCCATGTTAACTGGTTCCGGAAAGACAAGACCGGGCAATTCCTGTGGCCTGGCTACGGGGAGAACTCCCGAGTGCTAGAATGGATGTTCAGCCGAATCCAAGGAAGAGACTGCGCCAAACTAACTCCCATAGGCTACATCCCTGCTGAAGGCGCCTTGAACCTAAAGGGTTTAGAAAACGTCAACACGGCAGAACTGTTCGAGATCTCCAAAGAGTTCTGGGAAAAAGAAGTGGGAGAAATCAAGAAATATTTTGAAGATCAAGTGAATGCTGACCTCCCCTATGAAATAGAAAGAGAAGTTCTTGCACTGGAGCGGAGGTTAAAACAGCTGGAACTCACTGAGATGCATTTGATCAATCCACACCAAAGGATGATAACAAACAATTTGCTGAATCATTAGTGATAGCAAAACAATGCATGAATAGGGGGGATATTCAGTGGAAAAATAGGAATTTTAAATCTCATTCTGAAATGAAGAATCTGGGTAGCTTACCTAGAATAAAGGGCCACTCCAGAAGGAACTCCTGGCCCAGGGATTAACAATTACATATGCGAAATAATTCACATTATTTACCACAATTGCCCATGCCTTCCCCCCCCCCCCAATGATATAATGTACATGC